AAATCCATGCAGATAAAATTTTTTTACAACTCCTAAACACACAAGATGCATGTACTCGAAAGGCACTTGAGAAACCATTCCTATGGGTAGTTCTGACAATGGACTCTTACCATCTTTATGATGATCCTCATCTAAACATGCAATGTATTCTTCATTAGTTCGCAGGGAATGATTAACACCACAGAAAATATTACGTCCTTCACATATTACACCAGAAATTTTACATTTAGAGCATGGATGACTGGACATATGGCTTCGATGATTGAGAATAAAAGCACGAGCTGGTGCATCAGCTATGAAGCATCTTAAACGTATAGGTAATTTTTTTCTATGAAAAGTAATATCCCCATTAGCCAATATATTTTTTATATCCGCAATAAATTTGTCAAAAAATGCATTAGAGTCATTTGGTTTTGCAGGGCCTTTGTATATCCCTACCACTATTGGTTTGGAATGTCTAATGTTCGCGAGTCTACACTGAATTGGCCAAATATGAATACTGCCTGATTTGTCTAGATTACATCCGTCGGTATTAAAGTCAATGTCTAATTCGCTTGGAAGAGATAGTATTGGAAAGCGCTCAAGTTCTCTGGAAATGCGTGCTCCTATATCAAAATGAATGTATTCGCCTGGATCAACTTTACATGTGACAATTTTATCTCGTGGAGTACCTACAATTGTTCTCACATCTTTCTGTAAGTTACGAAAACAAGAATGTGTTCTAAGAAGAGATACAATATTATTATCTTGCACATGAGTCAAATTATTTTCTACAAAACAGGAGGCCAGTTTCTCTCGAAACGATGGCTCAACCGAGGAAGTACTAACAGAAGACAAAGTATTATCAAAAGAAAGAACATCATTATGAAGAAGAATATTGTCATCTTCAACGTTTATAGAACACGTACTATCGCAAATATTATTTTCCACACAATTAGTATGTTTTGTATTTGACGCGCCCAACGTATCTTCAGTATTAATATTATCTAATTCTCTTAAAGTATTCTTTATATACAAACTTTTACTTTGCAAGTTAGTTTTTATTTCGGATCTAATTCTTCTTTGTTGTCTATCACTTAATTGATGCCACCTTTTTCGCGAAATAGAGCGTTTTAGTAAATAAGGTTTTATACTTATCTGGTGTTATTTCTCGCTGTTGTCCAAGTAGCTATTTTCTCTCCGATGAAGAGTGTATAATATTTCTTGCTGTAGTCTAAATATTCTGTCTCACCAAATAAGAAATCTGAAAAATTTTTTAATTTCTAAATTTTTAATAGACAAAATATTCGCACACCAAGATAAAATTTTTGAGACCGTTGTCAAGGGCAAAAAATTGGCATCTGTTTTAAATAATTACTATCGCATAGCAATACAGCTCGTTTTATTGTTTTATAAATGCTAGCAAATGTAAAAAATCTAAAGGCCATATTACACATAACAAAATAAATTATTTAATAATTATAGTATTGGCTCAAATAAATTATATTGGATATATATATTGGATAAAATAAATTATAATTTATTTTAAATTTATTGTAAAAATGTTTAGTAATAAAATTAATTAGTAATGTAAAAGTATTAGTAATATACAGTAGAACCTCGATTATCCGTGGTAATGTGGGAGGAGCATACCTCGGATAACCAAAATCTCGGATAATACGGAAAATAAATACATACAAAGGCTGTTTTAACTTTTATGTATGTATGTTTTTTTATATATTTGAAAACATAACTTTATTATTAGATAAAAATATAAAATATAAGAGTCAATTGACGAATGCACATTATTCTTTGTTGCAAACATGCGTTATTGGCTTAACAAAGTCAGTAATACGAAACTG